CACGTGGTGGAAGGGATGAGGGTTCTCTCTGAAGCCTATTTTATAAGGGCATCAATCTCATTCATGAGGGCAAATCACCTCCCAAATCACCTCCTAAAGGTTCCACCTCCTAATACCATCACCTTGGGGGTTAGAATTTTGACGTATGAATTCTTGGGGGACACAAACATTCAGACCATAGCACGAGGTATCAAGGAGGAAACTGGCATAAATTTTAGATGGACTATCTAATTATTAACTTTTGTGTCTATACTTTAGCATGTTTCCTCTTTTATAAATTTGATAGACTATGTTTTGGATCTAACTAGAAAATATCATATCCATGGAAGTAGTAGTATCTTGTAGTGTTCTTTATTAGTTTTAGCCCATTGTTAATTTCTGTCTCATTTGGTCATGTACAATATCTGGGTTACAAAGATCATGGGTAAAGAATTTCAGTACCAATTACAGCAATGAATGTGTAATTATAATTGTGAATTTAAAAATATTACCATGTTAGTAAGTTCTCTTCATTCTCTCTCTTGACAAGCCACAGATATATGTTCATTTTTTTTTAACAAGTCAGAACTTTAGTCTGATTCATTCTGTTGTTTTATTTGAATTAATTTTTATTCACTTAAAATATCGAAGGTATTAACATGTGTTCACACTTTCTTTGTAAAGTCTAGACTCTGCCGTGGCCAGATTTGAATAGTTTTGTGAGTTGGTTAGATTACACAAAATCAAGAACCCCAAATTGAATCCAGTTCTTAATGCTTCATTAAACTACTTTTGCAATTCTGCTTGTTGATAACATATTTAAATAAGGAATTTAAACCAGAGAGGAATAAGAAGGTTCAAACAAGGTTGCTTTGGCGGACATTTGTGTGTTCCCATTTGTATCCAGCTGGAGCTACCAATAGGAAAGGTATCTTTTAAAAATAAAAAAGGAACCTGTACTATCCTACCATCTTTCACTCTAGATAGCAAAATAGGACTCACAGGTTTTTGAAGCTGGTACATTATTTTTTCTTTTCCACAAGTGGAGACAAGGGGAGGATTTGAAGAAATGTGATAAACTTGACACTACTTTAGATTCTCTTTGCAAAATGTGCAAACTGCAAGAAGTATGTCAATTTTAATACTCTAGGTATAAACATATGCTTTTTACACATTGTTTTTCATGCAAAAAAGCCTGGGCCTTCAAGTGACTTTGACTTAAGTTTACTGAAAAGGTCACTGTGTTTGAATTAGTTAATTTTCAGAGATATTTCCTATTAAAAACTTTGAACATGTTCTCTTTCTTTCCTTCCTTTTCTTTCTTTTTATTCCTTCCTCCCTCCCTCTCTGTTTTTTCTTCCTTGTTTATTTCTTCGTGATATTATGCTCCTATGTTCTCATTCTCCCCTAATTTCCTCTCTGCCTTCAGCCAGTCTTCTTGGGGCTCCCTCTTCAGATCACTCTCTCCCCTCTTTGGTTTCATCTCTCCGCACTGCTCAGTTTCTGAAATCATCTTGCCCGCTCATCACCTTCTACCTGCAGGCACCTGCTCTCAGGTGCTGCTTGATTTAGAGTTGAACACAGAGGGAGGCCTCAGGTGGACAAAATGATTCCTTTTGGCTCTGGAGGAGGAACCTGGCGAGCCTGCTCTGTGCAGGGTGTGGAAAGGTTGAGGTAGGAAGACAGGCAGTGGGAGGACAGGCCCGGGAGCAGTGACTTGGCAGCCAGCCTTAAGGAGCTGCTTTGTTATAACTCTCTAGAGCAAACTTTCAGGTTCGCCTAGTGTGCTGCACTTCAGTTTGCTTAATCGTAACCCAAGAATACTTCCTGTAATCTTTATTTTTTTTCTATCACACTAGTTTTGTGTGGGCTTCTCGTTTCTTACAGAGGACTTTTCGGTTAAAGGAGTATTTTACCATGTGCCACATCAGTATTAGCAAAAGATGATAATTCTGTGTATTAATACTTAAGCTTTTTCAAAACTACCTTCTCTCTCCCCTCAAAAGAGCAATTACGTTTGTGGATTTTTTTCCCCTTTTTGGTAGGATGAAGTACTTTTAATCCCTCAATAAACTAGTCATTTGTGTAGGTCTCTGAGTCTCTTCTCTTCCCTTTAAGATTTTTGGGTCTGAACTCCATTTGGAAGGAGATGACATGGCCTGGAAATTCTTGCTGGTGACCTCACCTGCAGAGATTGTGGGCATGGTGCCTGTATATCCATCTGCCGGGACTTTGTGTTAGGCAGGAAATCCTGTGAAATTCCTGCTCAGGGTTAACCAAAGGGACCAGCTCTGAAAGGTTTCATTCTTCTGGCCAGTCACCCTCCCTTATTAAAATGTGTGAAGAAGGCTTTTCAGTCATGAATTGTTGCTGACAGGCTGACCCAAGGTCAGGATGCTGGATAAGGCTAAGAACATTCCATGATATAGGTGGACAAGAAAAACACAGGGAAACTTTTGTATAGACCTGGCACTAGAAGGGGTTTTAGTGATGATAGCCCAACCCTAGAAATGGGCTGCTTCTCATAGAGAGCAGGGGGTCCATAACCCATATCCTATGGTTAATAGCATGAGTCCTGGAGTTGACAGGCATGGATGCAAATCCTTGCTTTACTGCCTGTTAGCCGTGTGGAATCCTAAGCTTCAGTTGTTATCCCCATCTGTGAAATGCGGAGAAGAACAGGATTAACTTTCTGGAGTTTTTATGAGGATTTAATGGGAAAGGGGGTATAAAATGCTTAGCATATTTCCTGGCACAATAAATGTTCAATAAACGATTGCTGATTTTACTATTGATTTAGGACTGTTTCTACTCTACTGCTTTCTAACTTTTTCCAAAAAACAAATCAAAGACAGTAACATGCAGTTGTCTTCATTCCCATGACAGCACGATGTAGAGAGAACTGAGCACCAGCAGTGTTCACACTATGCATACACACCCCTGGGCATCCGTGAAGACTTTGCAAGGATGGACAGGAGTAGTTTTAAGGATACCATTTTCCAGGTCCTCAACTTCTGGGTATTCTCCTTTCTAAAACCGAGACTGCATCTGCAGTTAAAGTGTTATAGCAGGTTGTCTTTCCGACCTCCCCTTTCACAGTTGCTGTTTTGCCATTTTAGTATAGAAAGGCATCTCTTTTCCCTATCTCAAATCTTACTCCAGTGCTGCTGTGTCCCAAGGTGTGAAACCACTGGAGCAGCAGATAAAGGGTCAATTTGAAATAGTAGTTTCAGCAAAGCCTTCTTTAATTAAGACACTGTAAATGTCCATCTCAATAGGAGATGCATTCTCAATAAAATTTTAATTTTAGTCCTAATGCATTAAAATTAGAAGTAATTGTGTCGTTTTGATCATAGGTTATTAACGATATTTGTGGCGATTATACAATCCAGAAGAATCTCTTACACTTAAGCTCAATGGTCACAGGATGTTTTAGAAAATTAAATTTAAAAACATGCTTTTTTGCATCAAAGTATGCTAGAGTGAGTAATAAGAGACCCTCACACGAAGAATTATATTACGTTAAGAAATTTCAGGGGGAAATTGATGTAAAAATGTGATTTTTAAGAAGAAAGAAGGATAATGTAAAACCTCCAACTGTTAAGGAAAGCTTATTTTTAAGTGAATGATGTTGAATATCAAATCATTATGGTTTTAATATTCCATTGGACACATTTGAAAGAGTATAGTAACACGTTTAAAAATGTTTAGATTTGCAATTAGCAGGAAAATACATCTTTTGAATTCTTTTAACTTGTGATGAAAAATTTTAGATGTCAACTTAAAAATAGGCCTAGGGGAACAGGGTTTTTAAATTTTTTTTTTAGGAACAATCATAACAAAAACATTTGAGACCTTTATTATATTTTATTAGCATTCATTTCTATCATGAGGGAGGGCACTCTCCTTTCTTGCTGCTCTTCTTTCTGTTAAGGCCAGGATTTAACTGGTTGGTAATTTTTACATGGGTCTTACCTTTTGCTAATATAATCTTGTATGAAAAACATGAACGCCTTTCATATGCCAGACTCAGAGCCAGCTGTACCAGAAGAGACACCAGGTCCTGCTTTGACAGAGTTCATAGGTCAGCCTCTACTCTTTGGTGTAGAGACTGCACTATGATGGAAACTGCAGCAATCAAATAAAAATGTGTGGCAATTGAGATGGGGGTGCAGCGATTCAACTGACAGTACCACTGCGTTACTGCAAATGTGGTTCTGGTGTTCATGGCTCTTGTAAGTACTATTGCTTCTCAAAAGAATATCAGATTAACATCCTTATTTTCCCTATTTAAATGCACTGAAAAGACTGCTGACATTTGGCAGGGTGATGGGGGGTACTTTGTTTTTTTGTTTGATTGGATTTTTCTTTCTTTCTTTTTTTTTTTTTTTTCCTTTTTGTCTTTTTTACTTACCGGTAACGGGATTGCAACCCTCGGTGTTGTGCCCGCACCGCGCTCAGCCAGTGAGCGGGAACCGGTCTCCACATGGGATCCGAACCCTCAGCAGGAGCGCCGCCACACTCCCAAGTGGCACACTCTCCAGTGCGCCACCGGGCCGGCCCAGTTTGATTGGATTTTTCTAAAGAGTGCTGGTATTTCATTGAAGTCTTTGTGGAAAATAGTGTTAAAATTACTTTTTTCAATGTGTGGTCCTGGACAATAAATTCTCAGAGTGATCGATTTATTTTCGTTAATGTCAGATTTCCTTATTCATGATTTAGAAGATTAATTTGATATCTATGAGTATTTTAGAAATATCCAGAACTGAGACTAGGACAGAAAAACTCAACCTGGTAGAATTGTGTTCTAGGCACTTCTCAGTTGTTTAGTGTTGAATTTAATTTATTAATAGTGATTAAATGTTATTTAGGGTTTTGAGAACCAAAAATTAAAGTGTGCTGAATTCAACATTCTGCATAATTTCTTCTAATTCATTTTCGAAGGGTGTAGAGTTATGCCTTACCTAATAAAGATACTGTCAAAGTAAATGAGTTCAACTCTATTTTGCTTTTTCTCCTAGGTGAAGAGAAATGGATTATCTCAAACAGTAAGCCAGGAGGAAAGAAAGAGACAAGAGGTATGTTTCTACCAAGCAGGTACCTTAGAGCTCTAAAGTGTTCATGTCTGCTTTTTTGTGCTTTCACCTACTATGTGCACTTGCTCAGTGTTGTCCTCTGCAAACATATTCATTTTCTTTTTATAAAAGCAGTATGTGATTATTGTTAAATAAAACTACACATAAGCCCCCAGGAAAAAAATATAATTATCCCAAGTTCATTTAAGTTACAACAATAAAGCCCCTAGTGAAAATATTTAAATGGGAAGAAATGTGTTGAAAAGTGAAACAGACGTTAGACTTTTGAACTTAAAAGGATGTTGGTGGAAAAGCTGGCAAAATTTGAATAAAGTGTGTACATTAGTCAGTAGACAAATATACCCTGGTTATGTAATGTGCCCTGGATAGGGGCAGCTGGGTGAAGGATACACAGAACTCTGAACCCTCTTTTCAAGTTTTCTGCAAATTTAAAATTATAGCAAAATAAAAGTTTATTTGATAAAAAATAAAACAGATAATAGGGTTTTACAACTTGAAGTGTTTAAATCAATGCAGTTTAAGAAAGTTGCTCATTTTAATAATATTATGAAGTTCTCAAAGTACTTTCCTCTTGCCTTATGCATACTTATATATGTACGCATATAAGTCTATGCATATACATACATATAGATTAATTCCTAAAGCACACAAAGATATCCTATTTTTATTTCATTGGCATGGAATAAAGCAAAATTATAAGGGTGGAATACAATGCCATTTTTTTAAGTTTAAAAAAACAGAATAGTGCAGAACTTCAGTGTATCCACTACTGAAAATTAACAAATATATTATATTTATAATTTAAAAAAAATTTTTTTTTTTTTGACTGGTAAGGGGATCGCAACCCTTGGCTCGGTGTCGTCCACACCACGCTCAGCCAGTGAGTGCACCAGCCATCCCTATATAGGATCTGAACCCAAAGCCTTGGTGCTACCAGTACCGCACTCTCTCAAGTGAGCCACAGGGCCGGCCCTAAAAATATTTTTTAAAGGAAAAAAATTTTGATAAAGTAGAAGTTTCACATTCTCTTCCTCAGTCCGTTTCCTTCATTTTTTTTGTAACTTGCTTTCTACACTCAACATTATTTTTAGAATTATCCATGTTAACTCATATTAATCTAGATCATTCATTCCAACTGCTATAAAGTGTTCCATTTTATGAATGCCACCTTTTAAAATTTTTTTATCCATTTTTCTAATGATGGATAGTAGATGGTATGCTTTTTCTTTATTGTTAATTTTGTGGCATAAACAATATTTCTCCTTGTGGAAAAATTTGAGTTCCCAAGGTCCTAATCCTATTTGGACATTTCTGTTCTTTTAAACCTTATATGGTTTGAACCTTGTCTACTTTTATTATATTCTGGAAATATTCAGATTTGTGATGTAAAAAAGTAATGACAGCAGCAAATATAACTTATGGTTTCTTCCTATTCCTGTCTAGCTATTTTTAGACCTGCTTTCCTAAGCAGTTGATGGCTCCATTGCAGAATACTTTAACAATTATTAAATTAAACTTATTTTATTAAACTACCACTTACTGACCTTTCATGTGATCTATTCTCTGTAGTTCATTATTTCTTTTTGTCCAAGTTTAGTATTTCGGATTTGATTACAAAAATCTTTCCTTTTGGAAATATTTTAAGTCATTCCAAGGTACCATATATAGCAACAAACTGAAATCCATAATTTTGGGTCAGGAAGGGAGTATTTTCTTTAGTTTGCCTCATATTTCTTGGGGATAATTGTATTGATTGAGTAGAGTTACACAAGATACAGGTTAGGTGAGACTATTAATGTTCTTACTCTTTACTCTTCAGACAGTGGTATCACTTAATGCCCTGGAGTACAGCTGGGGCTAGACCCACACATTTACGTAAGACCTAAGTCCCTAAAACCTTACCAGTGCTAAAAAGGGAGGTGAGCACTGAGATTAGCACTACTAACCTGATTTACAAAATATGGCCCATCTGCCAGCAGCTGGGTGTCTACCTGCCTTTCCTGCCCCACTCTCACACAGCCTCAGTCCCTGTGTTCTCTGGGGCAAGGGCTCGACGGGTGATGAGAGCAGTGTTACAGAGAGCTCTCCAGAAGGATGCTAATCTCAGGCCTGCGAGGATATTCACCACCCCTCCCTGAGGAGGAATTCTCCCTACGTTGTCATTCCTAGAGCATCTGACTTTGATTTTGCTAAGGAGCTAGATGAATTCCTTACAGAGGGCATTGGTGTCTATCCACATATGTGGGTTGGCATTTCATCATTAACACTTATCAGGAAAACTGCTGTGTGCCCGGCACCCAAGTGCTTCTGCAGAGGGTCCTTTGCTCCTTCTTGAGACACTGACAAGAGTAGAGAGGGTGGCTTGTTGAGTGGGTGGAATTACTTTCAACTGCATGAGTTTATATAAAAGAATTCCTGTGGCTGATAAGACCCTTTGAGGGTGGGTACAGTCATGCCAGAGTATTTGCTGTTAATGACTGCAAAATTAGTTGGATTAAAACATAGGGAAAGAAAGAGCACATGTGAGACGTGAGTGAAGAAAGGTATTTGTGAGAAATTTTCTCTGAATCCCAAGTGATGACCATAAATCCTTATTGTCCCTGAAACCACATGCTTTGAAAACAGGACTAGAGGCAGTGACCCCAAAGGTTAATTAATGTCGCACTGAGATTTTATGATATGCCCTAGCTTCCTTCCATAGATTCTACCCCTTGGCAAAGGCATGACCTCAGGATGCAATGTCAAGTCATCCAAATGCCTTTATTTTTTCATATTTACACTGCTGGCAGTGAGTGCTTCTTGAGATTTGGGTGTATGTGCCTCGTATAAAGACAGTAGCTTGGTGATGCAGTTTTCTTAATGCTTATCCATTTGTACTTTTCAAGATATTATATCATTCTTCTAGCATAAATTATGAAAGTTGTATTTAGTTCTACAATTAAAAAAATTAATAATACATTTCTTTTCCTTCTTACTAGGCTATCTTTGAAGTCATATCCTCTGAACATTCATATTTGCTGAGCTTGGAGATCTTGATACGAATGTTTAAAAATTCTAAAGAACTGAGTGATACAATGACTAAAACTGAGAGGCACCATCTTTTCTCCAATATTTCAGACGTCTGTGAGGCAAGCAAAAAGTAAGTGTGCTTCAGTCTGCCTGTGGTCATGCCAGGACGCAGCTGATAAACACCTTCGTCATCTCAAAAGAAAGGCAGTATGGTCATCCATTCAATTAGCTTTTGTCTTCATTCCCCGAAATAAGTTTCCAATTACGTTTTAAGTTGTTGAGGTATAGACAGATGCAAGTATGTAACTAACTGGCAAAGCAGACAGCTATCTAAGGCTTCTTTGTCCCTTCTCTTTCTCCACTGCTGCTCACCCTTTTCCTTCTGTTACATCAAGGAGAGAGTCTTGGTTTGCTGCCAGTTTGTGGTCCGTATCTGCTTATCTATTCTTTTTGCTTAAATATTTCCAAGTATATGGATAGGAAGTTTTACTCATCAGTATTTCAGTATTCAGCTCTGATAAGTAAGGAAATTTTATTACATCATTTCAGTGTTATGAAAGTATAAGTAATAGGTTCACGTGTTTTAAAGATATGAAGGTTATGTAGTAAAAATGCCCTTCGTAAATTCTTCCTTGGCCATCTGAAAGACAGCCAGCGTAAACGTTTTCTTGTGTATCTTTTTAGAAATAGTTTATCATGATATAAGAAAATATATATATATTTTTTCCTTGTTTTTACTTACATCGTAGCATACTAAAAACACTGTTCTGCCCCCTACTTTTTGATCTCTATCTTGGAGATCATTACATGTCTGTACGTTAGAACCTTCCTCATTCATTTTTACACTTTTTCCTTGTAAATTATTTGTTTAAAAGACCAGGTCATTTGTTCTGTAGCATTTCCCAGGAGGCAAGTAATGTATGGGTGGAGATCCATTAACTCATTAAGGATTATAAAATGATGTTACTCCAATTTACCATTCTTTCTTCATTAGCTGGAATATTTCTAAATGTACATCCATCTATTAATGTACCCAGTGATAAAGTTTAAGTTATTTTATTTATTGATGCTCAGATTTTCCCATCTTTGATCATTTCCTTGCTATCTGTTATTTCAAGGGGTTAAAGGATCATGTTTTACAATTCCTGCTCTAGGCCTGGAATCAGCCATTTCCCCAAAGAGCCCCAGTGTCTTTTGGTGTGAAATGGTGTTTTAGGACCTCAATGTGAGTGCTAGGTGTACTCATTGCTAAGTGGTCTTAGGCTGTTTCAGTAGATAGCCAGAAAAAAAATCCAAATTAAAATCTGCAAGACAAGATATATTCAAAGAAGCCTATAGGTACTCCAAACTCATCAAAATGTGTACATTAAATGTGTACAATTTTGGGGGGGACCGACCCCGTGGCGCACTCGGGAGAGTGCGGCGCTGGGAGCGCAGCGACGCTCCCGCCGCGGGTTCGGATCCTGTATAGGAGTGGCCGGTGTGCTCACTGGCTGGGCGTGGGGTGGGGGACACCACAACAGGGGTGCGATCCCCTTACTGATCACGAAAAAGACAAAAAAAAAAATGTGTACAATTTTGGGGGGGACCGACCCCGTGGCGCACTCGGGAGAGTGCGGCGCTGGGAGCGCAGCGACGCTCCCGCCGTGGGTTCGGATCCTGTATAGGAGTGGCCGGTGTGCTCACTGGCTGGGCGTGGTGTGGGTGACACCACAACAGGGTTGCGATCCCCTTACTGATCACGAAAAAGACAAAAAAAAAAATGTGTACAATTTTTTGTATATCAATTATACCTCCATAAAGCTTTAAAAATTGCTTAAAAAAGGAAACGTATCTCCTATCCCTGTTCCCTCTACTCTATTCCCTTCCTGTATAGTTTTAAAAAAAAAGTCATTGTTTATATTTGTTTTTTAATATAAGCATACACATATGTATATTTGTATTCTCCTCCCTTTCTTAGATAAATGAAAGTGTATTCCACACACTTTTCTCAACCTTTCCTTATTCATGTGACAATATATATTAGATATTGCTCTGTAGTAGTTGGTAGAGATAGTCCTTATCCTTTTTTCCAGCTGTGTATTTCTTCATGGAGTGGCTGTGTCATAGTTTCTCCATGCAGCTCCTTATTAATAGGCATTAGGGTTATTTTCAGTCTCACTGTTACTAGTCTCACTGTTACTAAGAGTCCTGCTTTCTGCTTATGCCTTGATGTATTTTAGCTATTGTGTCTTTGGGATAGATTCCTAGCAATAAGATAGCTAGAGATCAAAGGGTAAATGCATATGCAATTTTGTGAGATAGTGCCAAATTCGCTTTCATAGCAGTGCACCATTTTCAATACCACCACAAGCAGATGAATGCCAGCTTCCCCACAGCTTTTCAACAGAGTGTGTCAACAAACCTTTATATTTTTATCAGTCTAATAGATAAGAAGGATTATCAGAGTATGGTTTCAGTTAGCATTTCTCTTATAAGCTTTTCCATATGAATAAGAGCCATCTGGAACATGACATGTGTTTAGTAAATATTAAATTAATGGTGTTGTTATTCCTCTATAATGTTGAATTAAAATTTGAGATAAACACTAACACTATGTCAACAAAAGTGAGGAAAGGAAGGAGTTTTCTTATGCTTGCTGAAACCCAAGAATATCTGCTTTGACCAGATTATCAGTGCTAATGTGGAAGTTCAGCTTAGCTAATCACAGGGAATTATCTGCTTAACGAGAAGAGTAAAACATATTAGCGTTTTTCTGCTCAGAAAGATAGAGGCTGTTACATGCATGTTATGTGAAAAGTTGATAAAATCACAGAGCAAGTAGAAGTGATAAGCATAACCGAATTCATCAAATACCAAAATATTGAAATCCAGAGTACTCCCTGAAGCTTAAAGGAAGTGTACATTCATTTATTCAGTCTTTATTTTAGTTATTTTGTATAGAATATTTACCATTTATATCAAGCATTATGTTACAGCATTTTCAATAGAGTATGTACATACAGCTAAATAAATAGACTGATTTCAATGAACACAGGGGTCTTGAAGTCTTAGGATAAATAACAAAGGTATTAATGTACTTTGTGGTTAGTAAGCATGTAAAACTTATCACTCCAAGAGGTCAGAAAAACAGACCGTAGAAAATTCTAGAAGGAATGGGAAATGTACAGTAATATGGGTTTAGTTTAATGAGTTTTATGTATATATGACAATTATTCAACCAATTATATGCTGTAGAGGAATATTTAATAATGGGAAAAATGTTCATAATACATTTAGATTATAGAGCAGGTCTAAAGAGGTGAGATTTTTAAATTATAATAAATTTTAATTATTTGGGAGGTAATTTATCAAAACAAAGAATAATTACCTTTGATTGATGGAACTGAGTTATTTTAATGTCTGTCTTTGTGCTTTTCTTTAGTGTCAGCTTGTACAATAAAGCTCATGTTTATATAGTCAGAAAAGGAAACACAGCAAAGAAAAAACAAGTAATAAGAAATGTGAGCCAAAAATAAAATAGGGGAGGACATTAGATAAGTTAATGGCTGACATTCATAATTGGTTCATCCTGAAATGTCATTTTATTTAAATTCTAGATTAAAATTTTATTTTAATTTTAATCATTTATGAAATTTGAATCTTTTGATTTTATTAAACATTTTATTTCTATAGTAGCTTAAAATAAACAGCTATTCTGAGCATTTTTTGTCTGTTTTATATTTTAAAAACAAAACCCAGAAACTCCTCAGCCTCCATTGAAAGATAAAGACAGAAATATCCTTATCCTTTACATTTTTGTTTAGTTTTTACTTGAAAAGCTGTGCTTTAATTTGGATAGCTGTCTGTATGATATTTGATCCCTGCTATATTTCAACTAAGATTGTTCAAGTTCTACATGTTAACTATGTCTGTATCATAATAACTTGTATTACAAAAGTTTATTTGATTTAATTTGAAACAGTCATTTCAGATACAGCCTTTTTAAAATTGAAAGCACTCAGAAGACTTGCAAAGCCCATTCATGATGTAATGCCTACTTGTTTAACTTCAAGAGTTTAACTTCTCAAATGATGACTACTTAATATGCTGCCCACGAAAGAGTTCCCAATCCTAAGAAAATGTAAAATAAAATCTTGAATAAAATGATCAGTGTCTGAATTAGATATTACTGATTAAGCATGGCATTGTTAAGTGTATCATAACCAAGGCTATCTTCTCTGCTTTATCTAATGAAAAGTCGTAGCTATAGGTAATGCCATATTCAGTGCAGATTGAGGTCAAAACATTCTCAACATCCAAGTTAACAGTATGGTATCTGGCTTCCTGTATAGTGTCTCAAGTTCTTCACTGTTCGCCAATAAATAACATTAAGAAGCTCTTCTGTGTAAGTTGACATTACTTGAAGGCAGACAGGTGGGGGCAAAGATCATTCTGATGCTCGGTGTGTGTGTATGTGTGTTTATCATTGGTATGTCCCTACAAAATTCTTTGCTTCTTTATAAAGAATTGTTCATTTCAGTCAACACTTGTGGTGCCTCCTATTCTGTAAGGCTCCTAGGTTTCAGAGCATTTCAGTTGGTGGCATCTGCCCAGTGGCAGTTGCTCCTTGGGTGCTGGAGGTGGCTTGTGGAACATCCCCAGCGAATGTGCAGAGGCGTCCTAGAGTGAGGCACTTTCCCTGAAATGGGGAGGTTTGGGTCAGGCTGGGGGTTATGAGCTTATGGGCCCTTGATGAGAATCAAAGGACAGGATAAGAACAGGTGGTGAAGGCCTTCATGTGCTCTGCTGAGGAGTTTTCACTAGTTCCTGAAGGACGTGTGGAAACATTTAGCAATTAAGTAGGGGACTGATGTGGTGGCATTGGAGAGACCAGTGTGGTGTTTGCATTAGTGGGGAGGTGAAAATGGTGGAAGGTTTGAGGTGATTGCAGTAACACAGCCAGCTATGGGGGGAACCCGATAGGGGCCCAAGAGAAAGGACCTGAGAGATATTTAGGACATAGGCTCTTGAGAACTTGGTGAAAAAGAGGGAGGGGTTCAGTTTGCCTCCCAGGTTTCTATGTGGTTGACTGTGGGTGGTGGTTGTATTAGCCAGGCTATGAGAAACAGGTTGGGGCTTAGTGAGGGA